TTTATACTCGCTTTTCTCTAAGTCAAAGGAAGAAGCATGCATCTTGGCATGCAGTATTTTTCTGCTTCTCTGAATTAGCTGCCAAGAGCCAATCCAGCAGCCCATTTCATAGCTGTATCAGCTATAGAAGTATTTCCCCCCAGAAGAAACACCTATAAACTATACACTGCAGGTGAATCTGCATAATATATTATGTTCATGGTGGCAGCACATTCTTTCAACTTTTGTTTTTGTAGTTAACAAAAAGCACTGGGCACGCTGGTGGTGCTCTGTGAAAACAGGCCGTGTGGTTAGCTTTTTGTGGTTTCAAGAAACATTTTATTATGTTTTGGCCTGTTTTACGCATTTAATTGCAGGAAAATGAAATCCTGCATAGATATGATCAAGCTGGATCCTTGGGGGCTGGAGATGGGTGAGGAGAAAGAGAGAAATTCATAGCACCTGAAATCTGCATTGAGGTGAGGCTGCTGTTAATTCACTGCCAAAAGGTTGAACTGGACAATGATATGGTATGAGCATTTACTGAGGAAGAGTTGTTAGTTTAGCTGACAGGGAAAGAGGCTCCCCACCCCCCATTCATTTGACAGATCTGTATCCCTTTGCAAAGGATATTCATTAAGTTGTACTAATGGAACCACAGGCATGAAATCAAAACCACAAAACATGTCAAATTTGCTCTTTGTGGATTCTGTTTTAAGTACAGTACTACCACTTAAAACACACACACACACATTACCTTTAAATGACACACACAGATTAAACGTTTTGCACCTTGCAATGATTTAAGAATTATGTATAACCAGGAAAAAAAACCCTAATTACCCAGGCTGAAAATGAAGGGGTATGAAGCAAAAATGCATTATATTTCTTAGTATTAACCAAGCCAAGACTTCTGTCAGGGTCAGTTCCTATCAGTGGTTGGTGCAGAGGTGTGCAATACAGTATAAACCTGCACTCATTTAGCTAAGTCCAGTTTCATCTATTTGAGTTCAGAACTGCTCAGGTTCCACAGCTTCAATCTAAACCAACCAATGTTTTAGGGTATGCATTAAGAGTTTGTACATGTTGGAGCGAACACACTTAGGGCCTCTAAACACATTGTTTGTGTTTCCACCCTAATGGACTGTCATGCATGGCTGGTGACACCTCATCCAGAGCATTTATTTTCCAATACGGCAAATGTTATTCATATATATGAAGCCCTAAAACATTGCTGTACTGTCAGGAATAGACATGCAGGGGATAAAGGCAGTTTGAATACATTATTCTTAACCAATAAGCAATTTAACAGCATATTTGGTTGTTGTACAAGCATCTCCTGCGATCAGATCTCTCAATAACTTTTTATATCTGCACAAACCAGTTCTGACTTCTTACTCAGCTATTTAAGCAATCACACTGAAAACAGCACACATTTTAAAACTTGCCCGCTTAGTACATACTCCAGTTTCATAACAACCAAAGTGTGTTTTATTGATGCTGTTAACAAAGCCACATACAGCTTGTTAAAAGGATGGAGGTCATTTTTTTCTTCACTGATAAGGGGAGAAGAATAGCTGTATTTTTAAAAGGTGATACGGTACCTTTGGAATAGGGAACTGGCATTCTCCAGAGCAGTAATAGGCATCAAAAGATTTAGGGGAAATAATCCATTCACTCCATCCAATATCTGCAAAATCCACTTTAAGGTAGCGCCGTGCACAATAGCGTGGCTCATTCCACTGCTTCCTCCTTGCCTTTTTAAGAGTCTGTTCATCGAACTGGAGTGTCTGGCTTTTCTGATGGTTGTTTTTCCTCTGCTTTTTCTTGTTCTTGGTCCTCTCTGCCAGGCGTGGCTGCAGTGTTTTGTAGTGCTTCCTGTCCTCCCATCCTTCATCCTCACTGTATTGGTACTCCGCACCTGGCAGCTCATTGTTCTGTAAAGGCAACAGGATGCTGGTGGAGCGTTTTTGCCGCCGTTCACTGAAGCCGTTTTGTGAATGGGTGCCTACTTTTGGAAAACTCCTGGGTGGGGGATTCCAGCGTCCTTGCAAGCTGGAAACAACGCTCTCCGATTCCGAAATGGCAGAGTCATTGGCATAAACAAGAATGTACGGTTCATAATTAGCATGCACGCTCTTCCAGGGGTGTTGGCCAACAGAAGCTATTTTGACTCCAATTAGCAGCTCATTGTTTTGCTTGGCCTTACTCAAGGCGTGAGTGATGTTCTTCCATTGCCAGGAAAGGATATTCCGATAAACCGTGGAAATGTTGACTAAGTAATGGCCCAAGGTCCTAGTTTGGTTTCCTGATGTAGGAAAACTCAACAACAGGAGGCTAATCTGCACATCAGATTTCCTGGGTCCGTGTTGAGAACAACCCCTGAGTCGGGGACAATTCACACTACTGTTTTGGAGATCGCCAACATAGTAATGCAACAGAGCTGACAAGATGTTTTCAGACTTTGTGAGGGAGGTCAGGTTAAAAACATGAACTTCTTTGCTGCCAGCGACCCCTAGGAGAATAAAAATATTTACATGAGAAAAGAAAATGTCAGTCCTGGTTGCTGCTTTTAGTAAGTCAATCTAATGCAAAAATTCCCCATTAATTTTAGCAGATGTTCACACATTGCCTTTTACTGATTTAAACTGGAATGCCTATTACAACACAGACAAGGACATGCATTAATGAGGAGGCTGAAACTGAAGGGCACTCTTGATTTTACCGTCATGCTTTCTTGTAGTGATACAGCACACGTGATTAAAGAGTCTCTCCTAAAAGCAAGCTAATGCTACTGGAGCTTCTCATATTTCCTGCAGTATTCCCAGTCATCGTCATCATCATGTGCCATCAAGTTGATTGTAACTTATGGTGTCCCCTTTCAAGGTTTTATAGGTAAAGAAGATGTAGAAGTGGTTTACCATTCCCATTTTCTGGGGTGGGGGTTCCCTGGGATTGTGCAGCTTGCCCAAGGCCACACAGGCTGGCTTCTTCTCCCAGGAGACACGGTGGAGAATTTGAACTCCAAATCTTCTCCCAAGAGACACGGTGGAGAATTTGAACTCCAAATCTCTGGCTCCACAGCCAGACACTGAACTCACTGAGCTATTCAGCCAGCTTCAATATTCTCAAAGAGGCACCTAAGCATTTATGAGTTGATATTGTGGATTGAATGTTTGTTTTTTGTTTTTGTTTTTTTTTAAGGCATTTATGATTTGATATTGTGGATTGAATGTTCGTTTGTTTTTTGTTTTTTAAAAATGCTAGTCAATGCTCTAACAATTACATTGCCATCAACTCATAGGCTGCCATCTTCTCTTTTAACTCAGTCACAGCCAGCCTCCCTCCACCAACAAAACTGCTGAATACAATAATTTAAATAAAAATGCAAGCAGGAGCAGGCTATCTATCTATCTATCTATCTATCTATCTATCTATCTATCTATCTATCTATCTATCTATCTATCTATCTATCTATCTATCTATCTATCTATCTATCTATCTATCTATCTATCTATCTATCTTTATTTGATTATATACCACCCATCTAGAACTTGTCTGCTCTGGGCAGTTTACATATAAAATAAAAATAAACTGAGGTAAAATCCAGGCTATAGTATTCTGGGCCATAAATCACCTTTGGGTTTATCTGCTCTGGGCAGCTTACGTATAACATAAAGATAAACTGAGGTAAAATCCAGGCTACAGTATTCTGGGCCATAAATCACCTTTGGGTAGGTCATATTGCTGAGATTAGTAATTATTATTTTTTAAATATCAAAGCTGAGCTTGCACATGTTTCAGAAAACAAAGCAAAACAAGATCTACTCCTAGTTTCTGTCTCAAGCTTTCTACTTTGCAGCAGTCCAATTTATTTTCATTTTCTTTTCTTTTTTGGCACTGGAACGTGGAGGGGAATACTTTTCGTAGTTGTTTTTAGTAAACAACAGCAGGTCTCAGACAAATCTTCTGCAAAACTCCCAAACATTTATCAGTAGATCTCCACCGAAAAACTGCCCATCCCTGTTTCAAAGCATATAGCCAAAAATGTAACACGTGAATTAAACATGATTAGAAACACAAATTGTAATATAAGCAGAGAGTCTAGATCTGGCTGAAGCTCCCCAAAGCAGAATGTATAAACCTGCCTTTCATTCGTGGTAACAATGTCTAAGTATTCAAACAAGGGTTTCCCCACCATTTGCCTTCTATTGGATAAGCCGCTACTGATTGCTCTGAACTAGGGCATTAGATGACATCTAAAGGTAGACAGTGGAAATGCATGTACATTCAAGTACAGTAATTTGTTTATCTGCCTTAATGAAACAATTCTATATTTTTTTCAGCTAGCTTCTGTCTGTGTGAAGACATGGATGGGTGTATGCATTGCTAATGCACTCTTCGGGCTTCTCCGAAATGGTCTAACAGGGACCAGAAAGAATAGGAAACCATTCATAATGGCCATTGTACAATCGTTCTACAAAACCACATTAAAAATTAGACCACAATACTCAGCCAACCCATTTAGTAGACAAAAGGATGACTAGCTGTCCTGTTGTGAGATTACTTAATTCTTTGTGTGTGGGGTATATATGTATCCACCCCATTTTGGGAAAGTGGTTTCATAAGTGAGAAAGAGATGGAATACAGGAGTTTTTTTTTTTAATTAATCAGCTGTTTGCAAGCTGCCTTGAAAACTGTTTGGCTGAAAGACAGTGCCTAAAAACTTCAGTACATATCTTGTTTTGGGGCAAAAGTGGGAAAACATAAGGTTAATGAGGTTTGCACGGCAAATGTTTTTCTGTTAAATTAAACGAAATAAGAAAAATAATTTCCAAACATAAGGCATGCTTTTGGACAAGCCTTTTTTTTTTTTTACTCTGCACTCACTGCCCCAAACATAAGAGTTTTACAGTTTGATGGAACCCTTCCATGGTTCCTTATTGTTTTCTCCATCTATTTTTTTTTTTTTTTACTCTGCACTCACTGCCCCAAACATAAGAGTTTTACAGTTTGATGGAACCCTTCCATGGTTCCTTATTGTTTTCTCCATCTATTTTTTTCTTTTTTTAAAAAAAAACAACTCAACAGTATAGAAGAAAAGGTTAAGACGAGTGTGCTATGCTTTTGATGCATAGCATTTCAAGTCACTAGCTACACTGGACAAGCCCTTCTGGGACTTATAGTTCTGTAGCTTTTCTAAGCTCTGCGTCCTGAACCAACATGCGTAATGTTCCCCGTGGGTACAAGAGTTTTTAAACTTTTCTGCTCCAGCAGCTGCCCAGCTGCTCATAAAGGCACTCTCTGGACATGTATAACATGAGGCATCAGGTGCTTTTACTGGAAGGAAAAACGAATCACACCTTCATAGTGAGCATATGTATGGACACGGGCGCGCGCGCACACACACACACACACACACACACACACACACACACACACACACACACACACACACACACACACACACACACACACACCCCTTGTTGCATGGGCCTGTCTTGTTCTCACCCAAAGCAGCCAAATGCAGTGCACTTTTACTTCTGCTGTGTATCATGGAACTCACTCTTAAAGAGGTGTAGCAGGATTGTTACTTCCAGCTCGTGCTAAGATTTGAAAATGGTTCATATACTCACACAGCGGATTGAAATTTATGCACCCAGACAACGGGGCAAGAGGGAGAATCTGAAAACACAACATTTTTCACAGCTTTCTTGTTCAGAATTTGCAGAGCATATTGTACCTCTCAACTGCAGCTACGCCTTAGCGGGCAGTGAAATGAGCCTACATAGGAGACTCCCTTTTCACCCACGTTACTATAGTAAGCACACCTTCTCCACCTTGATGTCTTCTGAAACCTAAATCTGATTGCTGGTCACAATTAGACTTGTAAAATAAATTACTGACTGCAAGAAGTGGGCTTTCTGGAGGCAGCCAGACATGATGTGTATCTACGTTCCCAAATTGTAAACTATTCATATACAGCAGTAGTTCCCAACCTTGGGTCCCCAGATGTTCTTGGACAACAATCCCCAGAAATCCTGGACAGCACAGCTCATGGTGAAGGGTTCTAGGAGTTTTAGTCCAAGAACATCTGAGGTTGGGAACCACAGCTCTTGGTAAAGGTAAAGGTTCCCCTTGACAAATGTCCAGTCGTGTCCGACTATAGGGCACGGTGCTCATCCCCATTTCCAAGCCATAAAGCCAGTGTTTTTCCGAAAACAGTTTCTGTGGTCACATGGCTAGCGCAACTAGACATGGAATGCCATTACCTTCCCACCAAGGTGGTACCTATTTATCTACTCACATTTTTGCATTTTGCATGCTTTCGAACTGCTAGGTTGGCGGGAGCTGGGACAAGCGACGGGGGCTCACTCCATTGCATGGACTTGATCTCATGACTGCCGGTCTTCTGACCTTGCAGCACAGAGGCCTCTGTGGTTTAACTTGCAGCACTACCACGTCCCCACCACTGCTCTAGAGACAGTATAAACCAAAATTCCGGTGGTAACATTTGCTCCCAACTAATGCTTTAGGACTCTTAATGCTTCAAGCATTCTAACCATATGTTTATTTTACTTACTTTATTTCTAAGTTGTCTTTCTCCCCAAAAGTGACCCAGGGTGCCTTGGCTAGCTGGCCATGATGGCTGATGACCAGCTGAGTCAACACTAGACAAGCTGAAACTGTGCTGAATCCCAAACTGATCCCAGTCTAGGGATGCTGGAAATGACAGCTGCCAACTGGTTGCCTGATGCGAACGTTTTCATTGGAGGTTTTTAAACAGGCTGGATTGCCATCTGTCAGGGATGTTTTAGCTGCAGACTTCCTGCTTTGACAAGGGATTGGAATCAATGACCCCTGAGATCCTTTCCAGGTTTATATTATGCTCCATGAAGTCGGAACTGACTTATAGCAACCTTAATAGGACTTTCAAGGCAAATGAGATATCTAAGAAATGGCTTTGCCTGTTCTATAACCCCAGTGAGCTTCCTTGGGTAAGCAGAGATTTGAACCCAGGCCTCCTGAGTCCTAGTCCATCATTCTATCCTGTACACCACACTGGGTATCCTTCCAGCTTTAGGTAAAGGTTCCCCTTGACAATTTGTCCAGTAATGTCTGATTCTAGGGGGCGGTGCTCATCTCCGTTTCCAACCCATAGAGCCATCATTTGTCTGAAGACAATCTTCTGCAGTCACATGGCCAGCATGACTAGACACGGAATGCCGTGACCTTCCTACGGAAGTGGTACCTATTTATCTACTTGCATTTTTACATGCTTTCAAATTGCTAGGTTGGCAGGAGACGGGACAAGCGACAGGAGCTCACTCTGCCATGTGGATTCGATCTTATGACTGCAGGTCTTCTGACCTTGCAGCACAGAGGCCTCTGTGGTTTAACCTGCAGCACCACCTGGAATAATGAGCCAGTACAGTGTACCAAGTGACATGAAGAATGTTAGCACATTACAGGTGTATATGCAGAACAAAACAGCTGTATCTTCATAGGAGCCTTTTACTTCATTGATGCCACAATGATTGCCTCATTTCATGTTGAAATTTAAACCAAAAGATGTTTATAATTCCCCCCTCTAATTCTATGTTCACAGCAAACAGTCCGTATGGTATGTGAAGAGAGGATTAATGACAGAAAAATATAATCAATATGCTTTATTTTTAAATTCATCCCTCAAGATGTGCAAAGCAAGTTTTGATCTTTTAAAGCTTGCTG